TGAGTATTTCAAAAGATGAAAGATAGCTCTGAAGATAAGTGTGTTAGAAGGAAGCATTGTAATTTAATTTATTATGTTATCTGATAGTAAAATACAATATAGGACAACAATGTATAAAATTACTTTTTCCTCAAATATTATAAATATTTTGTTCAAATCACTATTTCTTTTTTTTAAGATATTTATTTATTTGTCAGAGAGAGAGAGAGAAAGCACAAGCAAGGGGAGCAGTGGGAGAGAGAGAAGCAGGCTCCCCGCCGAGCAAGGAGTTCAGGACTGGATCCCAGAACCCCAGGATCATGACTCGAGCTGAAGGCAGATGCTTAACCGACTGATCCACCCAGACATCCCCAAATCACTATTTCTTAAAAACAAATTGAAGTAGAATGCAAAGGATAAAAGATTTTTAAAAAATCCAGAGAAACCAATACCAAAAGGAAGAAAAATATGGTCATTATTTTGAAAACAGATGAGAGTCTTGAAACATGTTTCTATAGAACTGTAAAAGCTATTAATACATGGATAGAAAACCGGTGTCACTGGGAAAATCTTGAAAGCAGGCTGATGTCTGAAATGACTAAGGTGCATAACATTACTGAAGGAAATTATTTTCACTCAAAAAATTAATTTATTATATTCATATATATGCATATATTTTGGAAGTCACTCTGATGTATAATATTAGTGGAAGTGTAGAAATGAGTAAGATTAGGCCCCCACTTTAAGGAGATTTTCATTTGGGAAGCAGAGCAAAGGCTCCAACTAACTTATAGCAGGTAACTATAATAAAGAATAGCATATAAAAATTTCCTAAAAAAGAGGGGCCCAGGGGTGGCTCAGTCTGTTAAGCGTCTGCCTTCAGCTCAGGTCATGATCTCAGGGTCCTGGGATCGAGCCCCACATCGGGCTCCCTGCTCAGCAGGGAGCCTGCTTCTCCCTCTCCCTCTGCCCATCCCCACTTGGTTGTACTCTATCTTTCTCTCACTTGCACATGCTCTCTCTCTCAAATTGAAAAAAAAAAATTTTTTTTTAAATTCCTAAAAAGAAGTACTAGGGAATTGAGAGTGAGGAAATTACTCTGAAAAAGGATTACCATATAAAGAATTATGAAAAAAGGGACATTTGACAAGTATAGTATTAATAGTTACAGCAACAACAACAACAATAATAATAATACTAACATTTATAAGCTATTTTTCATTCTAGGTATTGTTGAAAATTACTTGCAATAGTTCATTTAATCCTTTCAACTGCCTGTGATGATGGGTACGTACTGTCAATGTTCCTATTTCATAGATAAGAAGATGAGATTTAAGGAAACGTTTCCAAGGTCACGCTGGTGGTAGTGAGTGGAAGAGCTGATATTAGAACCTCCCTTGAAAACTATATGACCCCACTGGTTTGACTACAGTATGTTGAGGTCAGAGTGTCCCTCCCTGTTTACGCAGACACACGTACATACATGTGTACATGCAGACACATGTACATACATGTGCACACGCGGACACGCGTACACACGTGTACTCGTGGACGCACATACATATATGTGTACACGCAGACACGTACATACATGTGTACACGCGGACACACGTACATACATGTGTACACACAGACACGTACATGCATGTGTACACGTGGACACGTACATGCATGTGTACACACAGACACACATACACTACAGGAATAGAACTTTCATTTCACGGCTATATCTTCAGTGGTACAGTAAGCAGATTCTAAAGTAATCATCCACAAAATTCAATGGCAAATAATGTCTTTACTAAGGAAGATTTGTTTAATTTTCAGACTGGTCATGTTGATTAAATTTTGTTCACCTTTCTGCAGAAGACATCAAACTCACTTTACTGGAGCATTACTATCTTAAACTGAGATGATCAAATGTCATTTGCGTAGGTATCAAGGGTCTCAGATCTGACTCCCATTTACAAAATATCTTTATAAGACCTAAAATATGAACTAAAGGCATGAAGGAAAGAGGAAAGAAGATGGGTCATCAAATCTGGTTTAAAAGTGAAATACTTATCAAAAATTCATGATGCAATGTATGGTGATTAACATAACATAATAAAAAAAGTGAAATACTTAACATTCACATTAATGGAGGGAAAACTTTTACTGACTTTATGGAGACAGTACTTTTAAGATAATGTCTATTTATGCTAAAGTGATACATTATTTTTATCTAAAGATTTGCAAAGAGAAACCCTTAGTTAGACAGAACTTTAAGCTAAACAACACCCCCCCATTAATTGATGCTAGTTGTATTTCATTATCCTAAAACTCTAATCCCATTTTTGAAAAAAAAAAAAAAGCGTAGAATAATGGTTAAGAAATAAGACTTTGGAGTTACAATTCATGGGCTCAAAATCTACCTCTGCCACTTACTAGAGGAGACTGGGCTTATCCACCTACAAAGCAAGGATAATAATAGCACCTATGTTATATCATAATAAAAAGTCTTAAATTAAATGAGTTTAAAATGATTTAATAAAATTATTTACGGTTTCTAAGATAGAAAACTGATGGCACATAATAAGGGCTATATGCATCATTTGTTAAATTAAAAGTAAAATATATTAAAGTGGATTTGAGTGAAAAATCTCAAACATGCACATGCAGCATGAAGTGATGCTTTATTGGTTGAAACCGAAAGCTCCTAGTTGTGTATTACAGGAGAGAGGAGTGGTGGGGAGAAATGATCAGATATTTGGAGTGATCAAATGATCATGGGTTCTAATGAGAGAAATGTGAGTGTTTTGATGTACTTTTTGTTCTATTGAAAAGCATCAATCTGAAAAGCAGGAGACAATGCCAAATTAATATCTATACATAGTTTTTCTAATAAACCTAATTCTCACCCATTATAAAAAGACCCTTGGGAATAGAAGGCATAATGCTGTTTTGTAAATTTATTTTTTTAACTGAACAACCAGATATCATGAATGGTCAATAATGTCTTCATCAAAAATCTGCTCTGTTTAGTCATCTAAATCTTGTATCCTCTACAAGTAACAAAGCCTTAAGCTAAACAATTCTTAATATATGTGTGATTTAATCTGAATTTTCAGATTCTGAAAGGTCTACCATCAATGTACATGCAGTATTTTCTCTTAAGTTGAGAAAAGGTGTCTCATAATCTTATGATCCTTGCTGGCCAAGCCCATGTCCTATTCAACCGTATGATAGCTAGCATCCACATGGTACCTGGCATATTGTAGGTTGAGTGAATAAATTATTGAATCCATAATACAAAGTCTCAAAGGTAAATGTGTAATTTAGGTTTAACCAGACAAACTAAAGGACGTCCAGTGAAATTATAATTTCAGATAAACCGTAAATAATATTTAGCATACGTATCCTCCAAATATTGCATGGGACATACTTATACTAATAATTGCTCATTGCTTATCTGAAATTATAATCTCACTGGGTGACCTGTATTTTCATTGCTAAATGATAACTGTAGTCTAGTTATTAACTTATTCAATCAGTCATTTATCAACAAGCATTTATTGCAGTATTAAATTATTAAAAGATGTACTACATTACCACCATGTGCCAGGAACAATTCTATGCCCTGACTCAGCAATAAATAAATATCACTGGCAGACTCTCACTTCATGGAACATGTATTTCAGTGGGAGATGGAGAAACGGTAATGAAAAATAAACAGGTGAAGTATTAAACTGACAAGGTAATTTTGGTTAATGATCGATGCCATGAAGAAAATCAAGCAAGATGATAAGGGCAGAGAGGGAAGGATGGATCAAGGGTTACCTGTGTGTGTGTGTGTGTGTGTGTGTGTGTGTGTGAGGGGAAAAAAGCCTTTATTGATAAATAGTTTACAATGAACTAAATAGAGTGATGGTTTATTGGGAATAAAAGCTCAGGCAGGATCTCCGTGTCTCCACCCCTGCTCTAGCTTTCAGCCTCTGCCTTCCTACTAGCCAGTTTGGACGATGAGGCGTTGGTGGGCATGCCCAGCCTCCTCGAGCCCTTGGGGGCCTCTGTGTTCCTGGCCAGGGGTTCACGCACCATCTTAGACTTGCCACCCCTAGGAGGAGCAGTGGCCTTGGCTTTGGGTCTCTCCTTGGCTGCATGGTCAGGGACTTCTTTAGGGCAACTGTCTTTTTTGTTTTGGCTGGAAAAGCAGCACCATTCTTGCCCTTGGGGACCATGGATTTTGAACTCTGACTCCCAGCTTTTGTTTTCCTGTGGGCCTCACCATCTTGTCTAGTCCTTCTGCCTTTCACCTTTGACTTCCCACTAGGCCGGGTGGCACTGGGAAGGGCCCGTGTTGCCTTGTCTGGCTGTTGGGAGACCTGATAACAGGAAGTCATCATTAAATGATGAAAAGAAGCCAGTTTATACAAAGAGCCAGAGGAGGAGCACAAAAAGAAGAAGAAACGGCAAACGCAAAGGACACTGAGTAGAAATGAATGTGACTGTTTAGGAAAAGTGTGGAAACCAATTAGATTATAGTGGGCAGGAGGCTGGGGAGTTGTATAAACATTGTACAAGAAGATGTAAGAAACTGAAACAAGAGCCAGTTCATGCAGAAATTTATACTCCACGATGTGACATTTAGATATCATTCAGGCAGAACGGAAAGCACTATAGTGGTTAAGATAGGGAGGAATATGATCAAAAATATTTTCCAAAGACCCCTTGGTTTGCTGGGTGGAAAATGGATATAGGTGGGGTGGGACGGGAAGACTGAAGGTACAACACCAGTTAGGAGGTGATCTGAGAGCAAAGGTGAGGGACAAGACATGGGCTCATAGCAGGCTGGTGACAGAGGTAGGTGAATTAGATGTTCTGAAAGCAGAAGCCATAGCATTTATGAAAGGTTTTAAGTCTGAGATCGGAGGAGAGTGGTGAGAGAAGGGGAAATAGCCATTTGTTTCCTCTTAAAGATGCACTGGTCCTATGTGTGACCCGTGCACCACGATAAATTGCTCTTCTATATCCTTCCTTCTCAGTTGCCTATATTGGCATCATCGGTGGTTAGCCTGTATTTCCTTGAACTCACGGATGTCTTCAAACCTGTGCACTCTGGATTTAGCTGCTATGACCGGAGTCTTAGCATGCCGTATATTGAGCCAACCCAGGAGGCAATTCCATTCCTCATGTTGCTGAGCTTGGCTTTTGCTGGACCTGCAATTACGGTAAGAATCGCCCCCAAATTATGTTTGCCAGTCCCCAAAAAACTAAGAATGACCACGAGTGTGTAACAAATGGGTTAAAAACAAACAAAAAGTGAACTCAACATCTTGGAACAGAAAGATCATGTCTTTGAGATATTTTGAAAATGTCATGTGACTTAATAGTTGAAAATTACTGGCATTAAAAGTTAAGATTGTATAATTGCAAAACTGATGGGTCTCTAATGTTCAGTTTTACAAATCATTCTAAAAAAATGTTTGTAACTGCATAATTCCCCTTGAATAGCTAATATGACATTTCTGATATACTTCCTAATTAATGTGTTGATATGGTATCTCTGAAGTCTGGAAAGCTGGAAGGGAAAAACAAATTAATTATATAGCCAAGAACTTTCTTCTCAAAAAGCATCTTGATATCACTTACAGTTTCATTTTGTACTGGATTCGCACTTTTTATTGATTATGAGCACTGAGCACCAACAATTACAAGGGAAAAAGGGCACAACTCACATTCCTGGCGCGTTGGTTCACGCATGTGTGCACACACCAAAGTAAAATAGATGCAAAACAGGCATTTGTATTTTTAAATATATACTATAAAGAAATGCCCTCACTTACTGGAGTTGAATTTAAAACATAGTTATTTTTAGTTTGCTAACTTACACATTATGAATAAACACATTCTCATTAATCCATTAGTAGTAAGACTGGACAAGCCTTTCCACCATCTCTTCTGTGCCCAGAATCCCACATAAAGGACAAGAAACGTATTTCAAGGGGGGATGGGTTAGCCTGGTGATGGGTATTAAAGAGGGCACGTTCTGCATGGAGCACCGGGTGTTATGCGCAAACAATGAATCATGGAACACTACATCAAGAACTAATGATGTAATGTATGGTGATTAACGTAACAATAAATTTAAAAAAAGAAACATATTTCAAGGTTAATAATATTTATTTCTACCAGTAGGAGCTCTTAGTTTGCTTTTATCATGCTCATGAATGTCAGAGGAAGTGGTTATTAAATGAAAAGCTGTATTTGAATGGAGTTTTTACAAGATTCCCTAATGAATCGGCCAATTCTGGTTCAGCACATCAGCAATTTTAGAAAAGTCTATACATAAGCCTTCCAAAGTTTATACTTTTTATGTAGCTATGAATTTGTTTTTTCAAAATTTCCCCTGCATTAAATAATTACAGCGTATGTTTACACTCTAAATAAATTATACAAAACATTTTCAGGAGGTAAAATAGAACTTAATATTCCATAAAACTTTATCATACTTAAAAGGTCTCAAAATCCTTTGTAAATTAATGAGTTTTTGAACTCCAGTTAACTCCAGGGTGATTGGAACTATTAATGATGTGATTGGAACTATTAATGATGTGCTTGGAAATAGCTGAGACTCTAATAAAAGATACTTAAAGTGCAGTGTTGCTCAGAATAACAGCATTTTCCTGTCATTTCTCTAATGACTTATTAAAAAATCCATATCATCAGTCATTTGACAAGAGCAAAAAGAATGTATGCTTTAAACTGTTACACCAGAAAGCATTTCTCCTAGTTGGGGTGTAACCCCCAAATTTATTATAATAGAATACTTGAAATAAAATAAATAAAATTCTGTACAAATGTTCATGTTGAACATGTTGTGTTATTTAACACAAGACTATGTTTTATTTTTAATCATTTAAATAATTTGTTTTTTATATGTCCAGAAGCCTTTCTTCCTTAGGGTATTTTATTAAGTTATTAGGAAAGCAAGTCTAATTGTGGCACTTGTTGGTGACACCGTTTACCTCACATCAGTCCCTTTGCTGACACTGTTACACATCCTGGGGACAATGACCTTGGTCTCATTGCTGTGTTCCTGCATCTGTGAATCCTTCATTTCCTTAAAAAATTCTCAATATGCCATTTAGGGATGTTTTCCGGGGCTTCCAGGCCAAAGCTTTCTTCCTTGAGCGTTGAGAAGCGAGAGGGCAAATCTGCCATGGCTGCCGCTCACCAAGTTGGACCTCGGGAGCCCAGTGCCAATTCATCCTACAAAGGGCCCACTAAATCTCAGAGTCTCCACAGGGCCCCCATAGTAGCTGCAAGCCTCTTAATAGAACAAGAGGCAAACTAGGGAAATATTTATATTCCGGGGTCCCTAAGTTCCTCCATATCACTTAGAGCTCCACAATACTCCAGGAAGTCAGTGGTTCTTTTCTTCCACAATGGGTTCATAGCTCTGGATAACCAACTCAGTGGTAAAACAAATCTTGATTTTGCTCACATCAAATACTGCTTTCACACCTTTCTCTCCAAACATATATCATACTTCTTCTAGATTTCTTTCCAATTTCATTTTCTCCTCTATCTTTAAGGACTTCTCCCAAAACATTCATTTTCTCAACATTGGTCTTATGGGGTCTATAGTCTTCTTGTCCCAGATCCATAATTCTGTCTCTAATCTTACTACATAGTTACTACTCTAATCTCTTTCTCCTCTGTTCCTGAAGGTGAAAAATAACAAGTAGACTTTAATTGCCAACTTTCAAGGATGCTGTTTTCTTTTTATCTATATGGTAGCATAAACCTGTTACAAAATGGGGTGGTGAGGAGGAGGGGAACAAGAAGAATCCTTCCTTTGGAAAGGGTTTTAAAGCCCAGTTCTGATGGGCATTAACGAGGGCACTTGATGAATCAGCACTGGCTGTTATATACAACTGATGAATCACTAAATTCTACCCCTGAAACTAATGATATACTGTATGTTAACTAAATTATATTTAAATAAAAAAATTAAAAAAAAATAAAGGCCACTTCTGTGAGGAGAAGCACTGTATTCACCCACTCATCTGACAGAAGAGCAAGCAAAACAAAAGACCTCATGTCAGCAATATTTTTTAAAAGAATCTTTACATGAACAAAAGAAGATCAACTAATTTTTGATACAGGTATTTAAATATAAATCACTTAGTGTTTGCTTTTCAGATTTTTTAAAATGCTTTGAGAGACATTTTAAAAATATAACCTGTCTTAATGATGTTGTACCAGAAACTGTAAAAATTCCTTTCATGTCTGTGAAATACATTTTCTTATGTCTCTGAAATTGCCCTTAAATTGGAAAATTTCATCCTTAATACTCACTTTTCATTTACTTTAAAGTAATAAAGAAACAAGCATTTTGTTCAGTCCTTTGGAGATTGTGTCTTAGGGAAAACAACACAGGATATCATAAATATTCATGTAATCTATATGAACAGAAATAATGTATACTTTCTCTTTGCTGGAAGTAAACTTTTATTACATTTTATTAAAGAATAAGTATATCTAACTTTATAGGAGGATTCTATTGAAATTTGATTATAGTTCCTAGACAGTAACCTTATCTTTAGGACAATCAAAATGTACAATATTAAATGTATTAGGGTTTCCAAAAGACATTCACTGCAAATTTAAACACTGAAGATACTATGATAAATATTATACTTTTTGTCATTCTCTTTTACTGTTCTCAAAACAAAGACTTTTTTTAAGATTTTATTTATTTATTTGAAAGAGAGAGTGAGAGAGAGAGAAAGAGGGAGCATGAGCTGAGGGGAGGGACAGATGGAGAGGGAGGGGCAGACTCCCACTGATCAGGGAGCCCAATGCAGAGCTCCATTCTAGGACTCCAGGATCATTACCTGAGCCAAAGGAAGACACCTAATGGACTGAGTCATCCAGGGGCCCCAACAAAGACTTTTTGATTGTGAGTTCTCCCTGTGGTGGCTATTCCTAGGGCAGTGCCCATATGATTAGTAAAAAGAAATATATTTGTCACTGTGTCTCCCCTGAAGCAGAGCCACTTCAGAATCTCTTCCAAAAACCTGCCCATGATATTCAACAAGCAAAAAAAAAAAATTCTTTTTTGGCCTGTATACAGATTAAATAGAATATTGTGAAAAGATCCTTGTCAGAAATTGTTTCCTATTTACAAATGACAAAAGCAACAAATAATTTTATTGTCAAAGCCTAAACTCTGAAACCGTATTTTAGCACAACCAGGATGCCATTCAGAATGAGGAAACAAGCAGGCGCACTTAGAAGTACATTAGGAAACATCTCCCCGCCCCGCCCCGAGGAGAATTCCATCTTTGGACAAAATTGAACCACTTTGAAAATTCATGCAGTGACATGTAGATCAAGGTTAAATGAATAGATGTGTGAGGAGAAAATTGATGTGTTTCTTAGAGAGGACAGTTGGGTGATGTCAAAATAATGACAAGAAACCTCTATCTATAATCAAGCCAAATAGTATTAAAGCACTCTCTTGACATATGAGTTTTGAGCATATTAGAAAACTAAAATAAAACTTCTGAAATCTCAAGATCATTTGAGATAATGACTATTGTGTTGTATGATAAAACACATTTCCCTAATGGCACTACACAAATAGATTCTTATATAATTTAGCATTCATGGACAAAATGTGAATCATTACATATATAATTGAAAAGAGGAGAAAAAATGATTCACAGAATTATTTTTGAGGAAGTGAAGATGAAGTCAATATCTCTAACCGTACAACAGTGCATTTCAAGGATGAGTGGTTAATTTTCTTGAAATGATGAATTTGAGATAACCATTGTCTTATTTTATGTGTGTGGTATATCATGTCACATCTATCTATGCAGAATATAGGACCTATTGTGTTTCTATGTCTAACTTAAAGTGATAATGTAGGATGATATTTTTCAAGAAGTACAAATTAACTCACTGTTCAATGATTTGAAAAAAAAACCCGCCTTTTGATGATTTCTATACAATTGATCTTCAGGATATTTATCATATATGCCACATGATTTCACACGTGTGTGGTTATTGGTAGAATTCCATTAAGAAAATTATTTTTTATACAAATTAAAATTCTTTATAATTATACACATACCATAATAGCTACAGAATTAAATATAGCAGATTGAACACTCAAAACAGAAGGTCGTAGGCTTACTGTCATTAGTTTAAAAAAAAAACCTGTAATTTTAAATACTTCATAAAACAAATGTTAAGCTAGTAATGAGAACTGGGAAGTTTCCCTTGGGAAATCTGTTTGAGCCCCTTATCATGACTATGACCTTTAAAGTGGCATCATCACTTGTATCTAAGAGACTGCCAGTATCTCCTATAATTTGACTCTTCTCAGCTCCACACATTTCTACAAGTCAATGTCGCATTTCACAATAATCTCTTAAGCATGATAATCTTAAAAACTTGAAATTTTTTTACATAAATAAAACATAATTTCAAATCCTGTTTCTCTTGTACAGCATAACTAAAGGCCTGAATGCCCAGGGTAATTAGCCAATAAGCATCCCACAGTGAAGGTAACAAATGCAAATCCCACAATGCCAACCATTGTGCTAGACAGTGAGAATAAAAGGTAAATAAGAAATGGCTCTGCCCTCAGGGGGTTATAGTCTAGTGAGAGACAAACAAATGAACAATTGAAGTGTCCTTTAACCAAGCTATGCTAAAAAGGAAGGATGAGGTGCTAAGGAAGCCACAAAGGAGACATAATTCAACTTAGGGTGATGTAGGGTGTTTCAAAGAAAACTTCTTGAAGGAAACGATGCCTAAATGTATTGGGTCTCTTTCTTGATGTCCTATGTCTTAGAACCCTACAGCAAATACACTTTTCTTTATCTTAACATCTTCATCTGACATGTTAATCCTTCTGATACTACAGTATGGCTCTCAGTCCATTGTAAACCCTTTCTTTTTCTTTTTTTTTTTTTGAGAGAGAGAGAAAGCGCGGGGTGAAGAGGGTCGGAGAGAGAGGGAGAATCTTAAGAGAGAATCTCCATGTCTAGCGCAGAGCCGCACGTGGAGCCCAGTCTCACGATCCTGAAATCATGACCTGAGCCAAAATCAAGTCAGACACTCAACCGAATGAGCCACCTAGACCCCTGTAAACACATTTTCTAATCTTATACCTAAGAAATAGTACCCAGCATTCTTCAACAAAATTGCTACCAATCACATGTGGATTTTTTCTATGTTAAGTCTAAATTGATTTAAATTTTAAATACTTAATTAAATACAGTGAAATGAAATAAAAAATTCAGCTCCTCAGTTGTAGTAGCTAAACTTCAAGGCTCAATAGCTACATGTGGGTAGTGGCAACCCTATTGGGCAGGATGGAAAATATTTTTATCATCATAGAAATTTTTATTGGACAGCTTGGCTTTAGATCACTCCTTTCTAACCTCATGCATTCTCTCCATGGATTAAAACTTCTGTTCAATTCCGAATTGATTTATTAAGATAATATGCTAGTAAATTTTCTAATCCTAGCTCTGGTGTTTTCTTTATTCCTCCCCAACCCCCCAACCATCTTGTTTTTGTGCTTTAAGAGATGAAATGCCATGACTCTATGAGTTAGGGCAGAATCAGTCACTGCACAATTAATCAGTAAGGCATCATCCCTGGATGTTGTTGAGCAAAGGTCCAAAGACTGAGTGCTGCAACAGCAAGAAAATGCCAGGACGATATCACACCCTTGACCAGTACATAGGCACACAGAAGATTCAACTAGTGCTCTCCACAGTGCCCTGATTGCTTCTTCTCACTGCTCACTCAACTACTCAAGAGATATTTCTCACATCTCTAACGCTTTTAAGAAAAATACATCTTTACCTTGTTGAACTGATGATGTGTTAAGAGATAACTTAGAATTCATTTGTACACATCGAGTCCATTCTGAACACCATCCTGTCTTTGCAGATTATGGTAGGGGAAGGAATTCTCTACTGCTGCCTGTCCAAAAGAAGAAATGGGGTTGGACTGGAGCCCAACATTAATGCCGGAGGCTGCAATTTCAACTCCTTCCTTAGAAGAGCCGTCAGATTCGTTGGTGGGTGTGGGGAACCACAAAGAAAGGAAATTTTTTTTTTCAAAATAGAAACGTTATATTTAATTACAGATATTAAGACTTTAAAGCTATAATTTAGATGTATAATTTTGGGTACATGATGAGTTTTACATTATACAAAAAAACTGTTAAAACACTAAGACTAGAGCTTTGTATCTGTAATGTGTTATTTACAGTTATAGTCCTTGTTTTGAGAGCTAACATGCCATGCATTTCAGTATATTTTTTGTCTTAGCTGTGGTGGAAGCATAAATTTACTTTAAAATGGTTTCTCCGGATGTGTGTTCATTTTTTAAAATGGAGAATAAATGTCAGCAGGCCATTATGAATGGATAACTCTTCAGAAATTAGTTTAGCCACATCAATGATTCCATTTCAATTCTCCTGGAGTGTTTTCATCCAGAAGTTACTGCACATGGAAATGTCACCATAGAGAACTGAATCATGGCTTTTTCCTTGGTTCTATCCTCTAACTTTACCTCCTATTTTTTATCTAAACCCCCATCTCTTCTGATTAGTCTGGGACCATCTTAATGTTTGAGTCACAGGCCTCTTTGTTTTTTTAACCAAGTTGAGAAGTCAAAACACTGTATACCACACCAATATGAATGTTTTACATTCATTCCCAGTAAGTCAGTAAAATTACTTTACCTGTAACCTCTCAGCTCAAAAGAATAGGTAATTTTATCTAATATCTAGACAATAATTAAATACAACCTTCTCTCCCACTAGAGGAAAAGTGTGGTCTAAATCATGCCCTAGACTCTGCTCCACTAATCAAGGTACTTGGAGATAGTAAGCCAAGAATAGTCCCCTTAGCGGGGTCACAAATTGAAGCAAAGAAAGAAATCTTCAGGACATATAACAGATCTCAGAGAAAAATTTCGCTAATGTAACAAATGCTTTGGACAAAGAGGCATATAACCTCTGTGAAAAGCTTTGTGCCCATGAGGATGGTCCATCCTACCCTAGAGAACAATGTCCCAGAGTCAGCAACCTCATCCTCTGAGGGTCTGGAGATTTTCATTCTCCAAAGGTAAAAATGGATGGGCTTCCCCACTGAAGCATACTCTTCTCCAAGACCTTGCATGCTGCTAGGAATTAGAATGTAGAAAGAAAGGTCCTATGTCTTGAATCCCAGGTGATTGGGTGGAGAAGGAATTGGGAGAATTGTTGCTAGGTGGGGATAAGCAGAAAAGGAAAGTGGAAAACAGGGTAACAGGCAGGCCAGCAACCATGGTCTGGAGGAATTTATTGAAGACTTATCCAGCTGCCTCTTGTATTGATTTCTATGAGCACATCATGAATCAAAATCCAGACTATCAAGTCAGAATGAATCCAGGGTGTCGAGACAATGTAGAGGAAGCTGGCGAGTTCAGATCATGTGTATGTAAGCAGAGCTAGATTCCCATGCAAGGGACTTGGAGCAGGAATGGAGTTCAAGTGAACAAGCCTGAATCAGAGTTTGTTTCTGGTTTGAGGCTGGTCCCAGAAGACAAAAGAAAGAATTTGGACAGGGAGACACAAGAACATCATCTCTGAATTCCAAATATGCAGGAAGTCTCCTACAGCCCTGTACCCAAGATATGATTATTATTTCCGTGATGGGGCCCGCCTGCCTTCTTCTCTGTTTTAATTAGCATTCCCGGTATGACTACAGCTTGTGGGGAGTTGGAACCAGTTCTGTAGAGCTTGGCAACTGTGGCTGGAGTTAAGGAGTACTGGGGAGAGAGAGCCCTGGAAGTTCAAACATGCTAAGCGATTTTAAATTATTTTGAATTTTGCTTCATTCTGCCATATTTAATTCTCCTCAAATCACACAGCTGGTCATCTTTACATGTCTCAGGTGTCTGACAAGTGACCTATGGTAATAATATTAAGAATGGGTCCTATTTAACCAAACTGACAAAAAATACCCCAAATGACTACCTTGGATATACTCATTGCCCTTATTTTGGAATTAAGTATCTGGTTTAAAGGTTTAGGAATTTTCTATCATTTTCTCTAAATAAACTCAGAGAAAACGATCATGACAGATTTGCAGGTCATCACATTAATGTATAATAAACATGGTTGATGATCGCACAATGTCGACATTAAGAACTAACTTGGTAACAATTTCTTTCCCTTTGCATATAGGTGTTCATGTGTTTGGACTGTGCTCCACAGCTCTCATTACAGATATCATACAGCTCTCCACAGGGTATCAGGCACCATACTTTCTGACCGTGTGCAAGCCAAACTACACCTCTCTGAATGTGTCTTGCAAAGAAAATTCCTACATTGTAGAAGATATTTGTTCAGGATCTGACCTTACGGTTATCAACAGTGGCAGGTCAGAAATTGAGATTTTAAACCTTCCCATGTCAGTGTTTCCATTGTTCATGAATAGCATGAGGTATCATTTTAGACATACATTTTTTGGGTTTATTTTTGGTTTTGGTTTTGGTTTTATTTTTGGTTTTGTTTTTGATAATGAGATAATGATTTTAGTTCTTATTTTTCTTTTCTTTATTTTCAATCCAGTGATTTCTTTAGTGGTTACACCATAGAAACTCTTTGGTGGCTCATTCCAAATCCTTCTGTCTCACAAATTTCATCCTCACATTCTTGCAACTAATCTTCATATCACCAAATCCTATTCATGTTTTGCGATCTACCTTAGACCTCATTGTGGTTTTAGGTTATCACAATTGGTTCATTTTAGGATGTTTATAAATAATCATGAATTACAGTCAATATGTGTCCTGTATTGCTTAAGTGGAAAATTAAATATTTATATTTACATCTCCATTGTATGTTGTATTTTTAAAAAATCATGTGAATTTTCCTTTTGGTAGAGTTTTATACATGCATCTTCTTTGTATAAACCCAGTAGATCAGTATAGCTTCTAACCTTGCATTTTAGAAAATAAAAGACAGAAAAACTCAAGAAAATACCAATGCATTAAGTTTTTTTCAATCAATAAAGTAAAAATGAAATTTTTTGGCGAGAGATAATGTTTTGGAAATTCAAAAGAAAGAAATTTACAAAGGACAAAGGGCAATAAGTGATTGCTATAAGAATTGCATTTATTGTTCAGTGAATTCTCAAGATTAATTTAAAGAGTTGAAAATACATTAATAAGTACCCTTGAAGAAGCAGAACCTGATATTACGTAATTATACACATTCAAGTTCTCATGGTCCATTCAATAATTTTGACGCTACATTTAAGATCTATGTCCTCTATTCTTTCGATCTATGTCCTCTATTCTTTCTCAATCTTTTTACATATCTTGTCTGTATTAAATGGTAATCCTTTTTATTGGGTGCCAAATAATTAGGAGGACATTAATATAACTGAATTTTATCTTTTTAAATTTTTTATCCATTAAAAGAAATCTCTATTTTCCTTCCTTCACCTGTCTTTTTCAGTGTTTCTCCCATGTCCTGTGTTCCACCTCTCTCCCAGCTTTCTTCTTAAATTATTTAACTAAATAAGATGCTCTGCAATTCTCAAGAGGATAATCACATTAAAGTGGAATATACAGAGAAACATTTTGTTAAAATTGGACTTCTTGTGTTTTCTAAAGTGTACAAATTACATAGACTCATTGCTGTGAGAAAATAATTTTGTCTTTTCAAGTTTTATGTAAATGCAACCATATATTTAGGAGCATAGGAAAAGTTTCAAAGCTTTAAAATCCTAGGTTTTATGGACTTTGACTTTAAACTGACATAATTTGAATATACCAAAGAACAATTATAATGTTTTCCAATCCACTTCTATTTTCAACCACCATTCCAATGGTGTAACAGAGTGATCCCCTCCAAAGCCGGCACTTTCTATTGGAAAGCGCATTGCTACTATTCTTTAATTCTAATAGTTGATCAGCAGTGTTTATCACTCAGATCTTTTCCCAGAAAACTAAAGAGAAATTAAAGTTATCACATATTGCCTCAAGGCTCTTAAGTTAAACATTTTAACCACCCAGCGTTCTTGAGATGATTGTTAGCAGTGGATCTGAAATAGAAGGCATCATTTGATTGTCTTCTTTTGGCAGAAAATCATTTCCTTCTCAACATGCGACCCTGGCTGCCTTCGCAGCTGTGTACGTTTCGGTAAGTCTCTGGCTCTTTTTCTTCAGTCTGTGTCCTAGAAAATATCAGACAAACCAGTGTCATCTCCAAGTGACTAATTAGATGATATAGCCATGTAATAACAGAACAGTGAACTTGAGCACAGCAGTCCTTCAACACAATTGCATCAACAGCAGAAATTCAATGATACTGTACACAATATTACAGTAAAAGAAATTTTCTACACAGAGTATTTATTCAGCCTGGTATCCCTTCAGTGTAATATATCTCATGGCAAGGTCTTATGAACTCTGTGAATGTTATAAATTCTCAAACTGAAAGGATTGTGTTAAGCACACACATACACACACACACACATATTTGCTTTACTTTCAGTATTTATGTAACAGTGAGTTCAAAGTCAGTGTAAACTTGATAAGTAATATACAGTGAATCCTCATAGTATCTGATTAATACAATAGTCCATCAGGTCTTATGTGAGAAAAGTTGACAGCAATTATGTGACAAGTGACATGGAAACTGAACAGTTATCTAGCTAATTCTACTGCTTCAATTTATCTTTCAAGCTTTCCTGTAATTAAATGAGATCTGTTTTTTATTGATGAGTTTTGCTATGTACTTCTTCTTTTTCAGGTATAGAATATAGCCATAGCAGGGGGAATGGAGCAGTAAAGTTGATGTCAAGTGTACGAATTAGACTTTGAGTCTAACTTTTTATATGATTATAATTTAATAGTAAAATGACCTTTCTAACATACTTACCAGATTGCTTTCATTTTTCAGATGTACTTCAATTCCACATTAACAGATTCCTCTAAGCTTCTCAAACCTCTCTTGGTCTTCACCTTTATCATCTGTGGGATCATCTGTGGGCTCACACGGATAACTCAGTATAAGAATCACCCAGTTGATGTCTACTGTGGCTTTTTAATAGGAGGAGGAATTGCTCTGTACTTGGTAAATAATTTACTATTCTCATTTGATAAACCACAGTGTAAATGGAAAACATGCATAGAACATTTTTACACTGGTAATAATTTATTTGCAATGTAGTTTATATTCGTGAGGAAAATCTCTGAGTGCATCTCCATCCTAAGCCAAAACACATATCCCACTTTTAGCAAAATAATATTTTAAACCCTTACCATGGACCAGCAACTGCAACTTTAAGATTACTGCATTTTATCCCATACACACACACACACACACACACACACACACACAGCAGAAAGAGTCAGGGACTATTTTTGCTAGTATAATTTTACAGATGAGGAAATTGAGTATTAGTGAAAGTAAAGTTCATGACAGTGAAGGTTTGGTGGAAGTTTATAGAACATACCCAACAACACAAATGTAGCACCTGGATATATTAGCACCAACTAATACTGAATTCTTCAACAGTACTCTATTTTCAAGCCCAGTCTTCCTTCAGAGGAAATATTCTCAGCAGAAGGAAACTGAGATTGTCCATTTCATGCATTCATTCATTCACTCATTCAATATCTGATCTGTGCCAGGTACTAGACTGAGCATCCATACAGTGAGAAATAAGACCCAGCCTTAAGGAGTTTTCAGTGTAAAGACTAATAAGAATATAGATAGTTGCAGGATGTTAAATGGTATATTAGGGTGTGAACAAAATGCTTTGGGAATAGCACACTGAAGAAGGAAGTTAGAGAAGCCTTCACAAAAGTGATGTGGTTTTTAAGAAATAAGAAATTTTTTTCTTAGGCTAAGGAAAGGAGGAAGGACATCCAAGCAAAGAAATTGCACATGCACAAAGACAGACATATGAAAGAGCAAATATAAGTGGAAGGTGAGGTAACAGAAGGAATGAGAGATAACAGCCAGGTTTCTAGCTTGGAAGACAGGGCAGATGGTGACTTCATTAGCAGACCAAGAACATGATGGAGGAAGCAAGTTGGTGGAGGAAAAGGGTTTGATGAGCTCAATTTAAGGATCGATAGGCAGTTGAAGAGTTGCATCTGGAGCTCAAAAGGGCAATATGTAGTGGAGAAATAGATTAGGAAGTCATGGACAGTATTGGTGGAAGTAATATTATGGTTACGGAGGTATATGAAATTGCCAGGTCATAAGGATGAAAGGAAGCCAGGCCACACCCACATACCAGCAGCATGCAGAGAAACAGGCAGTCACCAAGGAAACTGAGAGAAACTGACAGAGAAATGAAAATCATCTATTGCAGCAGTTCAGTCATGGGATCTTGATGCTCTTGTTTGTGGAAGGTGTTACAAGACAATGATGACAAAAAGTTGTAAAAGCCCTGAAGCATGTGATGATTTATTTTTCACTTTTATAAACTAACATGGTCAGGATTGTCACTTTAAATCTCCTGCTTACGCGTGTGCTTTCTTCAGTGGAGGAGAAAGTGATCAAAGTAAAGTTAGCAGGCCAGGAAATGGGCATAAGCTTGGGTTTCCCATGAGAGTGTTGATTGGCAATGTGTCTTATAGAATAGGCAAGGAAGACTGAGAACTGCCTCTCTCAAGTTCATTCATTGCCTTTGTGTGGGTTTGATTTCATGGTGTCCTGGAATTAGCCTGGGCTCCATAGTCCGAAGGATTTGGCCTTGAATCTCAAGTATCTTACATTTGGCCAAGTTACATAACCTCTCAGAAGCCTGTTTCTTCACTTATTAAATGAGAATAATAACTGGCTACTTCATATCACACCAAGGATGAAGCAACTATATTTATTGAGCACAGTGTTGAGCACTGCATGTCGAACAATATGGCAGAATTTACTTACAGTCTAATGGACGATTTTCCCAAACTTAGACCTTTAAATACAATCATTAATAGAGCATTAGGTAGGGACTGCTCATCCTGAGAACTCTGGCAGTGAGAGTAGAGATAGATACTATTTAGAAGAAAGTTTGAACCAAGAATTAAAACAGAGAGGCAGAAGCTGGACCTACTTCATTTCTGTTTCCACTCTATGCCCTGAAATTGGAAATTCATCAGTTCTAAGCCAATGCTATTATAAACTGTTAAGCACTCTATAAAATGTTAAATCCATGGGATTCTTTTGGTTTGATTTGAAAAGTGGCTGCCATCTATGGACATTAGCTCCCAAATAGGTATCTGTTGCTTTCCCATTATCTCTAAACTAAGCATCTCAGAAGATGAAAATCCAACAAGGATTTGGTCGTCCATGTGTAAAAATTGTAAAAATTCTGAATCCAAACTTTACCTTATCCAAATTTTTATCCCCCAAATCTAAAATAGCAAAAATTGGTAAGTTGAGTATAAAGACAAGATTAAATAAAATTTAGCTCAAATTTAGTATACTAGCACTGAATTGATCAAATATCACTTCCAAACTTAAGACCAAGCTAAAGGAAAGAATGTGGGTGCTCCAAACTAGTGATGATGTCCAACCTCTCTTTTGAGAATTCTCTGTACAATGCTGAACACACAGGGCTGTGCTTGATCTGAGTTGTAACAACATTCGTCTCTGACCTCACTGCAAAACCTGATAGCATGCTTTATGAATGATTCGTTGTCTTATATTTTTCACACCTCCCCTGCTTTCCATCAGAAGGTGTGATTGAAAATGGAAGGTAAAATAAATCAGTTAAGCTATTCAAGGTGTCATTCAACAAGAGGCTCCTAAATCCAGGAAAATAAATTGCTTTGAAAAGCAGAAGAATGTCCTCATTTCTCTCATTGTCTGTCTTTTCTTCTCAAAACATACAGAGGATAAGATTCACAAAAACATTCAGTAGGATGGAGAAAGAGAAAATCCAACTAATAAAAAATAATGGGTTCTTGATTTCTGAACAGTTAGTTCAGTAATTTATGATATAACTTACAAATGATTTCCTGAGTAATTGTAGTTTGGGTTTTTTGTTATTTGTATTAGCCAATGGTGTATAGAGAGCACATACCTTATTTATTATATGCTTCAGTGGGTCCTCTAGGACAAATTCTTAGTAACCATGTCTTCTAGTGCATGCTGTTCATTGTTTCTCTTCAATACTAGGGCCTGTATGCTGTGGGGAATTTCCTGCCTAGCGAAGAGAGTATGTTTCAGCACAGAGATGCCCTCAGATCTCTGACAGACCTCAACCAAGACCCTAGCCGAGTTTTAGCCGCTAAAAATGGCAGCAGCAGCGATGGAATTGCTCACACAGAAGGCATCCTCAACCGAAACCACAGAGATGCTAGCTCATTGACAAACCTCAAAAGGGCAAATGCTGACGTAGAAATCATCACTCCACGGAGCCCCATGGGGAAGGAGAACATGGTTACCTTTAGCAATACCCTGCCTAGAGCCAACACCCCATCTGTTGAAGACCCTGTCAGAAGAAATGCCTCCATTCATGCCTCTATGGATTCTGCTCGATCAAAGCAGCTTCTCACCCAGTGGAAGAATAAGAATGAAAGTCGGAAGTTGTCCCTGCAAGTTATAGAGACTGAGCCTGGACAGTCACCACCCAGATCCATAGAAATGAGGTCAAGTTCAGAGCCCTCCAGGGTGGGGGTGAATGGAGACCACCATGCTCCCAGCAATCAGTACCTCAAGGTCCAGCCTGGCACTGTTCCCGGGTGTAACAATAGCATGCCTGGGGGACCCAGAGTGTCCATTCAGTCACGCCCTGGGTCCTCACAGTTAGTGCACATCCCCGAGGAGACCCAGGAAAACATAAGCACCTCCCCCAAAAGCAGCTCTGCTCGAGCCAAGTGGTTGAAAGCTGCCGAGAAGACTGTGGCCTGTAATAGAAGCAACAGTCAGCCCCGAATCATGCAAGTAATCGCTATGTCCAAGCAGCAGGGCGTCCTCCAAAGCAGCCCCAAGAACACCGAAGGCAGCACAGTCTCCTGCACTGGCTCCATCCGCTACAAAACCTTGACAGACCATGAACCCAGTGGGATCGTAAGGGTTGAGGCTCACCCAGAGAACAACAGGCCCATCATACAGATCCCGTCCACCGAGGGTGAAGGTAGTGGCTCCTGGAAATGGAAAGCCCCTGAAAAAGGCAGCCTTCGCCAAACTTACGAGCTCAATGATCTCAACAGGGACTCAGAAAGCTGTGAGTCTCTGAAAGACAGTTTTGGCTCTGGAGACCGCAAGAGAAGCAACATAGATAACAATGAGCATCACCACCATGGAATCACCACCATCCGGGTCACCCCAGTAGAGGGCAGCGAAATTGGTTCAGAGACGCTGTCCATTTCTTCCTCCCGCGACTCCACCCTGCGGAGAAAGGGCAACATCATCTTAATCCCTGAAAGAAGTAACAGCCCTGAGAACACTAGAAATATCTTCTACAAGGGAACCTCCCCAACACGGGCTTACAAAGACTGAGTGATGGAATTCAGTCACTTGAGCGGCCCCCAAAAGACCGCATGTTGATTCTATCTGTGCTCTGTTCCAGCGGATTGAGAAGCCTTCTCATCAAACTGGGTCATCTACCATCAGCCCGGAGCTCAATGACTCTTGAGAACTACTACACTCAAGCTTGTAGATTTCACACCAAGGGGAGGGAAAAGCACAATGAAAGAACCTAATTAATGTGACAATGTGAAGAATCTTAAGACCTATCTTCAAACTCAAAAGGTTTGCAGAAGGCAGTATCAGAAGAAAGTGGTTTCCTTCTGTGTATACTATTTTACTTCCTGAATGTGCCAACTTTAGGGATTTTCTTTATAATTAGCTGTGGGAATCCAGAACCCATCTTTCCCTACAGCAGAGGCCATGCAGTATTATATATTCATTTTGCAGAATCTGCACCTAAAGCTCAGTAAGGGTGGTGCTGATTATTATAGTACATATACCATGTAAACTCTCAAATTCTATTTAGCTGTGAAATAGTGGTGTGCAATTCCTTGTCAAAGAAATGCTACTGTATTAAGAAGATGCTGGCTGCTTTGTGTTAGAATAGGACACCCCACAGCTTCTCTGTAGTGGCTCTGTCACAGTCAAAAAAAAATGAAAAGGTTTTGTGCATTTCTTCAAAATTATGTTTTCTTCGACAACGAAAATTGTGTAGGAATATTTTCAGTGAGAGGGAATAACTAGTACTTTTCTACATAGGTTTTTTTGGGTTTTTTTTTTTTGCTGCTTACTTTTTATCTAAGTATAGGTACTATTACTGATTCTGTTTTTTAGTGAGTAAATTTGCATCATTTTAAAAATACATCATTTTAGAGTCTTTTGAAATTGTTGTGATCATATTTTGCATTTTATGGCTCCTCCTTTATTTATTAATAAAAAATTTTTTTGATGTTATGGATATGTTTTTCTATTTTTAAAGCAAGAATAACAGTTGACATTCCTTGAGCAAAATATATCTCTGTGAATTTATAAACAACCAATCTGAACCAACACTTGACATTGTGGGTTACATTGCCAGCAATATTGGTTGAGTCTACCCTTGGATGACTCCAACCAGCTGGCTTTGGTTGCTATCTTAACAAGTAATCCAAAAATTCATTTTGTTCCAGATTATTAATTTTTGATATACTAACAACCAGAAAATTAGAGCAACAGGGGTTGGGTTTTACCTTCTACCCTCAGATATTTTTGTTAATTGGACATCAACAGGAAGAATCTGAAAAAAAAAATGCAAATTGGTAAGTGAAAATATCTCACAGTATAAATTAAGAATGTATTTCTTCAAAATCTCTAAATAGGCACTATTTTGTGCTTAATATGCAAACAACAGTTTTGCTACCTATCCTGAATAAAGCCTTCAGCCTAAATCAAAGAAACCAATACTATCAATGAGAAGATAAAACCAGAACACTTGGAGGTGTTTTCCAACTTAAAAATTTAAGTATGGAGAAATAACTTGGTTCTTGGGACTTAGTATCAAACCTTTTTTACACCATTTCTTAAGAATTCTAATATACACTCAATGATTGCCAAGGGGATAGGAGGTAACAACAAAGCTGGTTGATCTGATCTGTTTCGTTTTCCATGAGGACAAAAGGAGTTGTTTAGAGATAAAGACTATCATATCATTATCAACTTCTACCGGAAAAGGGCAAAGCTTTCTAGAGTCACCAACCTCCTAAAAGCATAAAAGCATTAGGGATTTAGCTGAAACCAGCAGAATTGAAAACTCTGGCAATAAAATACGATTCAACTATATCCCTTCTGGCAATTTCCTCCTCAGAGAGGGGAGTGGGAGTAAAACGTTGCCTTCCCCACTTCTCGCCACTACCACCGTCACCACACTCCTACTGGCTTCTGCCATTTCATAGAGAGAAAGGTGGACTGGTTTTAGTACTCTGAAGAAAAAAAAAAGCTGCAGCATTTCAGGTGCAGTAAGATGTTTCCTAATCTTTCCTATTTCTTAACAAAAGATTTTAAAGTACTTCTCTAGTCATTGAGGGTTTTTTTTTCTTTACATAAATATTGATATATTCTTTTTCTACTCAAAGTGCCAAAGGCTACAGTTTTTAATGACTGAACCAATTGTACCACATTGTTAAGGAAATATAATGATAGTCGCTAGAACTCAGACCTCTGCATGTATATTTGATAATACATCTTTTGTAAAAAAAAATTACAAAAAAATATTTGTTTACATTCCACTGGTACCTTAATTTAAAATAAATGAGACTAACAGGTGGTATCTCTTCTTAGTGTTCTATTTATCTGATTTGCTAATGAGAGCACTTCTTCCTTTGTTAGGCTGTGCTTTACTGAGAAAACCAAGTATTGAATAAAGAGAGTAATTATCTTTTTAAAGTAAATAAAATTATGAAAATATATATAATATATATAAAGTATTGTGTTTAATAAAATGTTATGCAATGTTTTCCAAACTGATAAAGTTTGTAAAGTGCTATAATGTATTTTGTTAAGTACAGATTAAAGCTATTGTGTGAGTATATTGTGCTAACATCATAGAAATAAAGATTAGATTTCTTCATCAAAATTGGAACATCTTGGTTTTTTACTTCAGAGTACGAATGGATAATAACTTGGCTTATAGGAAAACAGCTGAAGAAACAAGAATGAATCAGAGCTGATTATATTCATAATTGTTTAGAAGAAAGAGTGTTGCACTCACAAAGAAAAGTTTGTCAAACCATGCCATAATGTTCCCACATCACTTAGAATTTTGATTTTATGCTTATCACAGGTGCTCTTTTAGATTTACTTAGACATAGATTTCTCACATATCAATGTTATAAAGTGTAAAGATGAAAAAATGTCAGGTCCAATTGCTCTGAATCAATTTTTGACTAAAAGTAGTTGATGGGCCTCTTTTCCCCAATATTATTGCCCTCTGTGGCAGCTTGTCTTTAAAAGAATGCTCTACTATTAACTCCAGGATTGTTTTCCAAGCCATTAGCATCTGTTATATGAATTTTACGGCTGATACTCTGTATGTCTCACTAGTAGGTACTAACACAAGTTTTTAGACCTCGACCAGGATTATGCTTTACTCAAATGATCCTGAAGTGGCCCACTTACTGAAACATGAAGTTACAGTTATCCAGTAATGCCATCAAGTTCATGCATACCAGGCAACTATATCATGATTGCCACCTGGCCAACAACCACAGTACAATGCAATTCATTATAGAAAACACATTGATTTTAGAGATGTTAACATATGAATAATGATGTACATCTTATCATGGCTGAAATGCAATATTAAGACTCTCTGGGTCTTGATTTTTCATCTCTAAAATGGGGATGTTCGGCTTTATTATCCTTTCTAAAAGATATCCTAAAGTCTTTTCTAAATTTCTATAGATAATTATCAAGTATTTTATCCGGAGAGCAAAAACTAATGTCAGGAGAATAGGAAATAGCTTGCTGGTCTAACATGACTAACTAATGAGTATTGTCATCTTTGATCATACGGCGGATATAAGCAAGACAATGGGCTTACCAAGAGTTTGCATCTACTGTATCATTACATGATATGTCAGAATAGGTGACTGGTATGCAAGTAACCCTGATTCTAGTACCTTTCTCATCAGGTGTCAGGTGAGTGCATTCTGGATCATATATACAAGAAGCTATCATTAGAGGACCATATCATTTCTGTCTTTTACAGGTCAAGTCTTTACTGAATATCTGCGGGTCATTTCTACTATAGTTCAAAGGGAATTGAAAATTTAAGCATGGTTCAGAGAGTAATTTAATTAAAATAATATAACTGAAGGAAATCAAAAGGAATTGAAGTGGTTTCCTCTAAAAGGAAAATGGATAAAGGTCTGTTTGTGACTGGACATTTCATTTCCTCTGTTTATTGAATGTGTCTCCTGCCTTTAATCTGTAGAAAGTTTCTAAAATGTCCTAAGATCAAATGCTCCAGTTTGAAGAAAATATAGTTTTAAGTAATAGTATACGATATTACAGGTAAGATCCAATTATGGGAAATCCCCAGTGACCATACTTTTTAAGTGCAAAAGAATATCTAGATGAGTCCTCTGATACATAAATGACTTTTATTTCACTGTCCATACCATTGTTAGTCAATGAAAGCTCCTAATTATTTGTGATTGTGTGCTGTAGTCAATAATAATGAGGGTTGCTGGAGTTGAGGGGGTGGGAGGGATGGGGTGGCTGCGTGATAGACATTGGGGAGGGTATGTGCTATGGCGAGTGCTGTGAATTGTTTAAGACTGATGAATCACAGACCTGTGCCCCTGAAACAAATAATACATTATATGTTGATTAATAATAATGATAATGATAATAATGAGGGCAAACTGAGCACATCTATCGTTCCACCACTAATTCTATTTTATGAATTTGTTTAATGCCCATTATATCTCCTTTACTCCCCCTACTTTAAGATTCTCAGTCATTGCCTTTGAGGAAAATCCATCCAAACTTTAATGTTAACTTTACAAAATAGTACAACTGACAAGTGGGAAATGGGTTTGGAAAAAAGTATGAGAATGGTATTCCCTTAAAATCTCTTTTTTTCCTTAATCACTTCAGGACACTTTGTACCCAGGTACCGCCTTTTAGAAAAAAAGCTAGATATTCTCTATACTAGAAACTCTTTCTTCCCCCCATGTTATGGTTTATACCTTTCAACCTGAGATGTCCCTCTGAGAAAAGGTACATCATCTTTGTGTACAGGAAAATCTAATTCACTCCACTCCCAGCTCAATCTTTCCCATTCTACATCTAATTTAAATAATGGCAGATATTTCCAGAAGCATAAAAAGAAGTATTTTAAAGAACTAACTCAAAATGGGTTAAAGACTTAAATGTAAATATAAAACTATAAAACTTCTGATAAAAAAAATACAGGAGGAAATCTTCAGGACCTAGGACTAGGACGAGCTACCAGTCCTTGGTTAGATATGTGGTTTGCAAATATTTCTTCCAGCCTGTAGTCTATGCTCTCATCCTTTTAACAAGGTCTTTCAAAAAGCAAATGTTTTACATTTTAATGAAGCCCAGTGTGTCCTCTCCCTTTGGCCATGTTTTTAAAGTCAAATTTGAGATATAGAAAAAATCCTCAGAACTCAACAATAAAATGACAATAAATGCAATAAATATTAAACAACAGTAAAATAACAATAACACAGTAAATGTTAAAGAGTAAAACAGTAAAATAAGAAATGAACAAAGGTATGAAAGGACATTTTACCAAAGAGGATATAGAGAGAGCAAATAAGAAAATGAATGGGTGTTCAACATCATTAGCCATTTAGGAAATAGAAATTAAAACTGCAATGAGATATTGCTATACACATATAAGAATGACTAAAATAAAAAATGGTAATAATACCAAATGTTGACAAGAATGTGGAGGAATTGGATCATTTATCCATTACTAGTGAGGATGCAAAATGTATAACTACTCTGGAAACAATTTGTCAATTTCTTTTTTTTTTTAAGATTTTATTTATTTATTTGACAGAGAGATACATAGCGAGAAAGGGAACACAAGCAGGGGGAGTGGGAGAGGGAGAAGCAGGCTTCCCTCTGAGCAGGAAGCGCCATGCGGGGCAAACACTTAATGACTGAGCCATCCAGGCGCCCCAACAATTTGTCAATTTCTTTAAAAAAACAAAACTAAATATACACTTCTATGACCTAGGAACTATATTTGGGGGCGTTTTCCCACAGAAATAAAAACTTGTGTCCACACCCAAAATATGGTACCTACATATTCATCTCAGTTTTATGACTAATAGCCCCCAACTGGAAACAACCCAGATGTTCTTCCATGAGTGAATGGTTTAAAAAAACCATGGAATACTACTCAGCAATAAAAATAAATGAACTATTGATAGCGCACTATTTGAATAAATCCCCAGGGAATTATGCTGAAGGAAAAAGCTGCTACCAAAAGTTTACATGCTGTTTGATTCCACCTCATGAGACAGTCCAGATATGGGCAGCCCACATATGGAGAAGTGGTTTTGTCATCTTTACCACACAACTTCCATAGTTGTTCCAGTTGGAGTGGGGTGGGAAGGAGGAATTCAAAGATATGCAGCTTTGTCTTTAAAAAGAAGACATAGAAGTTTTATATGTCATGTGTAATCTACCCATGTGGCACAAACTAGATCACCTTACTGCAAGAAAGGCCGGGGATGTAGTCTCTAGCTGAGATGCCCTGGGC